TCTATCACTGATAATGTTTTGAGGGAAGCCCTAGTATTTGACCACATGTTTGAGCAATAGTCGAGCTATGTCTTTCGTTGTACAATACTTGTGAGCGAGAATGAATGTGGCATACTTAGAGAACCGATCAACTACCACTAAGATAGCTCTAAGATCACCAACCTTGAGTAAGTTCGAAATGAAATCAAGGGAGATGCTTTCTCACGGTTTGGTGGGTACCAATAGTAGTTCGAGCATGCCTGGAGGTTTCCTCTTTTCAACTTTGTCTTGTTGGCAAATGAGGCAAGTCTTCGTATAGTCTATCACATCTTGTCGCATGTGAGGCCAATAGTAGCCCTATTTCAATAACGCCAAAGTGCTTGCCAACCCGGGTGTCCTGCCCATGGTGTGTCATGACATTCCCTCATCAGTATCTGTCTCAGACCTCCTGTTCTTGGCATAAACACTCGAGGCCCCTTGATCCACAAGACCCCATTTTCTTGCCAAAAGTACTTGGACTTCCCTTCTTCCACTAGCTTCAATATGGCACAAGCTTACGGGTCCTTCCCTAAATGCTCTCTAATCAACTTGTGAATGTCTGTGGTGGCTCTACTGGCTGCCATTAGGGTAATTCTTCTAAGGGCCGTTAAATCTGTTCGTCTGCTCAATGCATCAGCCACTTTATTGGTCTTTCCAGCGGTGTGCTTAAAACAAAAATCAAACTCCGTTAAAAATTTTTGCCACCTAGCTTGTTTCATCGTAAGCCTTGGTTGGGTGAGAAAATGGTTAACGATCGCATTGTCTATCTTCACGACAAAGTGTGAACCCAACAAGTAATGTCGCCAAGCCCTCAAGCAGTGAACCACCGCCAAGAGCTCTTTTTCTTGGGCCGTATATTCCTCTCAGCTTCGCTTAGCTTCCTACTTTCAAATACTATCGGGTGATGTTGTTGTAAAAGCACTCCTCAAATGGTAAAATCAAATGCATCCGTCTGAACTTCGAAAGGCTTTTCAATATCAGAGAGAGCTAAGATGGGATCCTTCATAATAACATTCTTCAATCCCTCAAAGGCCTCTTGGCACTCACTCGTCCAACACCATTTATGCTCCTTCTTCAATAGCTCCATGAGGGCCATGGTCTTGTGAGAATACCCTTCCACAAACCTTTTATAATAGTTGGCTAGTCTCAAGAATAAGCAAAGCTCACTAACGTTCTTCGGTGTTGTTCACTCCTTGATGGCCCTGACCTTTTTCATGTTTATTTGAATGTGGTCACGTTCGACAATGTGACCAAAAAAATGGATTTGGGTCTGAGCAAATGTACATTTCTCCCTTTTTACGTATAACTGGTGGTCCTGTAACCTTCGAAGCACCTGGCATAGGTGTTCTTGATGTTCCTCCAAGGTGGAGCTATATACCACTATGTCGTCTAAATAGATGACTACAAATTTGTCTAAGTAGTCATGGAACACCTGATTCATCAATGTACAAAATATGACAGGAGCATTGGTCAATCCAAAGGGCATAACAAGAAATTCAAATGCACTATACCGTGTTATACAAGTGGTTTTTGGCTCATCTCCCTCAATGATTCTGACCTGATGGTAGTTCGATCTCAGGTCCAATTTGGAAAAGTACTTGGCCCGGCTCAATTGATCAAACAAGTCTGCTATAAGAGGGATGTGATATTTGTTTCTTACGGTGACTTTGTTTAGGGCCCTGTAGTCAACACATAATCATAAACTCCCATCATGTTTCTTCTGAAATAGCACTGGCGCTCCGAAAAGAGCCTTTGATGGTCTGATGAACCCAACTTGTAAAAGCTCATCTAACTGTTTTCTTAGTTCAACCAACTCTGGTGGGGCCATGCAATAAGGGGCTCTAGCAGGGGGTTTCGTTCCTGGGAGGAGCTCAATTTCATGGTCCACGACTCGTCGAGGGGGTAAAATCTTAGGCAACATCTCTAGCATCATCTCTTCAAATTCTTCCAACATTTTTTTCACGCCATCGGGTATTGGTTCTACTTTCGATCCTTCTTTATAGATCGGTATAGCCACAAAGGAGGGTTCCCCTCTCTTTACTTCTTTCTTGAACTACAAAGCTGAAATCATTCTTTTTCCATTCTTTGGTAAGATATTGGCTGGCACCACATATGGGTGTTCCCCTAAGAACAACAAGCAGCTAGCAGCGGGGATAGGGATCACCTGAGCCAACATCATGAAGTCCAAACCGAGAACGACATCAAAATCATCCATGAGGGAAACTGTAAAGTCTACCTTCCCTTCCCATGGCCCCAATTTGGTTGTCACACTCTTGGAGCTCCCACTGATCGTAAAGGCTGGCGAATTGATCGCCTTCATTCGTCCATGTCTTTGCTAACTTGCAGACCATACCTTTTTACTTCTTCAGGTGTGATGAAAGTATCAGTTGTACCCGTATCCACCATGGCCTTGGTGGCCTTCTCATTGATCACTAAGTTTACATACATCAAGCCTCTACTCTGTTCTTTCTTTATAGTGTTCAGTTGGGTGTACAGGGCATTGAGGAACCTTAAGGAACCCATCATGGCTAGCTCCTCTTCAGCTTTTTCAACGCTCTCTGACGTTTTTACAGACTCTTAAGATGAGGTTCTTAAGACATTAAGAGCTCCTCTGTCTGGGCATTCGGCCACCCGATGCGGCCCCTTACAAAGAAAGCAAGCTAGCGGTTGCCTAGGCTTGAAAATCACTGTGTTGCTTGTCTTGGGTTGGGTACTATCTCGATCAAAAGACACCTTGTTTGATCCCCCACTAAAGGGCCGATCCAATCTAGTCATCTTTCTCCCACTCTCAAAGTTAAAGCTACTGCCAGCTGATGGAAGATTCTTTCGTTTTGAGGAGCCATCATTATAATCGTGAAGACGTTCAGCTGCAGCCTAGGTCGTGGCCATGTCTTGCACTTTCTGTCTTTGTAGTTCTGTCCTAGCCCAAGGCTTAAGGCCCTCAAAGAAATAGAACATCTTGTCCTTTTTGGACATGTCTCGAATATCCAACATCAGGATAGAAAAGCTCCTTACAAATTCTCGCACTGTTCCTGTTTGCACCAATTCTCGAAGTCTCCTTCGAGCCATATACTCCATATTCTCAAGACAAAATTGGTTTTTCAATTCTCGCTTTAGGTCCATCCAAGTCTTAATTGGGCATTCATCATCGACAAACTTGGAGCGCCACCATAGCTTGGCATCCCCTGTGAGGTACATTGATGCCATTGCTACCTTGTCTTCCTCTGAATTCATGTGTACAGCTCAAAAGTACTGCTCCATGTCAAACAAAAAATTTTCAAGTTCCTTACATCTCTTGCCCCCTCATAGCATCGAGGCTCTGTGCCTTTTTCTCTTTTCCATCGAGCTCGAACCCGATCTGGCCACAGCTATTTGTAAGATGCTCACCTATGCTCTGAGCTCCTCAAACTCCTTTTGAAGAATATTCAAGGCATATTTAGCCTCCTCGCTCACGTTGTGGAGAGTATCGGACAACTCTCGCTGGGTTGTCTCGATCTCTCTCACTCGGTCTTTAGTCGCCATATGAGTTTTCATTGCGGCCACCGCGGCCTCAAGTTCCTCAATTCTCTGTTGATGATTGGGTCCACCACTTATGGCCATCTCATCCATTTTCTAACACTTCTCAACCGTGCTCTGATACCACGTGTCACGAACTAAGCTTTCTTTCAACAAGTAATAGACCGTGCGGCACTTGAATGGATGCTTCCACCTAAGTCAGCCTTCAATAGATCGATATCTAAACAAATAACCATAAGCCATGGTTAGTCCCAAGCATTCACAATAAGGCACAATATATCGAGATCAATCTCAAGCACACACACACAAGAAGGCATATTCGCATCGAGAAAAAGAAAAGCACATCGAGACAACATTCGGACATTCAATCATGGTGAATTTTATTATAATCGAGAATCATAAATCGAAAATCATATATCGGGACTTCACACCATCACCAAGGCCAGGGGGGCAGCCCTTGGTGGATGGTCTAAGCTCGCATAGCAACCGGTGAGACAGCCCAACACTACACTATCGGTTCACCCCTTTAAAGAGCCTTAGAGATTTTAGAGCTATGCTACCAATAATCATTATAATATTTAAAATAAAAATATTTTTTTAGTACAAGTGATTTACTCGACCATGACCTTATACATGAATAGCTCATGATAACTTAAGTCTCGATCGTGATTTTATACAAGGTTAGCTCTTGACACACGGCTTGTGCGAGTGCATTTTCTAAGAATAACGGAGGAACTGACCTGGCACGGGGATCTGGTGGATATCAGGACCTGTAGAGATGCAGGACAAGACATTTACGTGCGGGTGGATGCTGTTGACTTACGTATCATCTCTGTCCAATTGCATTTCTTTGTTTGCAAGAAAATAATCTATTTTGTAGGGCAATAGCTGATATTCAGTATTCACTTTCAACTCACTTCTTTATCGTACACTCTTCTTCTCTTCTAAAACGTTTCTCAAAGTCAAAATAGTTGGGTAATAAATTACTAAAGCCCTGAAAACAAGGTTTAGAATTGACTATGTAATCGATTATAATTTAGGTTGGTTTTTAGTGTTAGAATCCCTAGCAACATTGTACAAATTATGGGTCATTCATGGCAACATTTGATTTTCAAGAATTTTCAAATTGGACTTCTATCTCCTAGCTCAATTTATTGTTTCGGCTGTTTGAAATTTGATGTTTATGACACCTTGGCTTCATTGTTAGAATTGAGCTCTTTCTTGGATTAATGAATTCTCAATCTCCTATTTATTATCAATTAGAAGGTTCAAGTAATAAGAAGAACTAATCACACCCTTTTAAATTCCAGAATGTGACTGTGCCATTCCATTAAACTTTCTTATCGTAATTCTATTCTAAATATTGAAAATTGTCCTGGAAATAGAGGAATTGCTTGAGAAGAATGGCACAATTAGCAAGAAGCAGATGGTGGCAATTTTAGTAGTTTCCATTGCTGTGATGCTTTCCATGGTCACCTTTGCATTTTTTTGGTGAGGCCCATAAGAAGAGGTATTGAATTTTTCTCTGGAATTTGTTCTATGTTGCATTTTCCATTTGAATTTCTCACAGATGCTTTTCAAGTCCTAAATGTTTCAGTCATGTGGCTATGTATTAAGGCTCCATTTTGCAGGTAGATTAACTTTTGAAATAATAAGAATTGAAGGGAAAACAAAAATGTTTAAAAATAGAATATAAAATATCATTTAATTGCTAAGAATACTACCTATCATGGCCAGCATAGATTGAATTTATATTTTATGTGTTTGTTTTTATCCTTTCATATTTCCTTCAACTTTTTCCCCAAATGTAGCAGACAGTGGAATTCATAGACTAATCTTTTTTTCTCTAATTTTTTTCTCACATCTTAATCTTGGCAAAAGATTTTTGCACAACTATGTCGTTTAGAATACATTTGAAAACTTCACAAACCAAGCATTGATATATATATATATATATATATATATATCTTCTTAATTGATACCAGGAAGAAAAAGACGACCTCCACTTAGCTTCACAACAAGTTCAACACGATTGGAGGACCCTTTAAACGGAAAAAATGCAGAATCGCCATTTTTTTAGTTTGGGAACCATTGCTGCATCCACAAGTAGTTTTTCTTCTGACAACAAACTTGGACAAGGTTGCTTTGGCCCTGTTTATAAAGTAATCTATCTTGCATTTACACCCTTCAAATGCTTTAATCTATGGCATTTTGTAACTTTTAATTGTAAGGAACCAGCAGATCAACTGTGACAAGTTTCTTGAGAGGAAACAATCGTGATTATCTTTGGAATTATGTCTAATTCCAGGGTATACTAAATGGAAAGGAAATATCGGTTAAAAGGCTATCAAAGTCCTCGGGACAGAGAATAGAGAGTTAAGAAAGAAGTTAAAATGATTGCTAAACTCCAAGTCTCCAATACAGGAACCTTGTAAGGATTTTGGGTTGTTGCGTAGAAAAAGAAGAGAAGATGCTGATCTATGAATACTTGCCAAATAAGAGCTTGGATTCTTTTATTTTTGGTATGTATGCTCCTTTTCTGACGTATTTTCTTGTCCAATCAAGTCATGTAGGATCTAATGAAATATACAACTTTGAATCCAGATGAATAAAAAAGATCACTCTTAGATTGAGGAAACTGATTAGAAATTTTTTATGGAATTGCTCAAGGAATTGTAGACCTTCATCAAGACTCAAGGTTGAGAATCATCCATAGAGACCTAAAAGCAAGTAATATTCTACTAGATGCTGAAATGAACGCAAAGATTTCAGATTTTGGTATGGCTAGAATATTTGGAGGAGATCAAGTTGAAGCAAAAACAAAGCGTGTTGTTGGAACATAGTAAGTGCATAAACTGCTAGCATTTTCTTTAGTTATGGAATTGGTTGTATTAATTGTTTTTAGAATGCAAAAAGAGAACCTACAACCGTGAGAGAAATTGTCAAGTTTTAAATGAAGTTTAATAGTTCATTTTTCTATATGCTATTGCAGTGGCTATATGTCACCAAAATATGCAATGCAAGGATACTTCTCTGTCAAATCTGATGTGTTTAGCTTTGGAGTACTGCTATTAGAAATTATTACAGGCAGAAGAAATATTGGATATTACCCTGACAGTCTTACCTCAAATTTGATTGGACATGTAAGTGATTTAATTGTGTAAGCAATTTCTAAGAAAACTTTTCATCCCGTTTTGATTATTCAAGTTGTTTTAGGTTTGGGAATTATGGAGAAACGGCAAAGGCATGGAAATAGTTGATTCATCATTAGGAGGGACTTATCCTGCAGCTGAAGTTTTGAGATGCATTCAGATTGGGTTGCTGTCCCTGCAAGACAGTGCAACAGATAGGCCAAAAATGTCAGCTGTTGTTGCCATGTAAGGCAACGATTTTTTTCTTCCTTCACCTTAACAACCAACATTTAACATCAAGAAAACCAACAAAAACGATGAGACGAGTGGTAGTGAAGGCACTGGCTCTGTCAATGAGGTGACTCTTACTATGCCTCAAGCTAGCTAGATGATCAGGCTCTTTAAAAGTTGTAGAAATTGGAAAGGTTCCAATATGTAATAGGACTTTGAATGATCTATTCAGGCAACGGGGCAAGTGTATGACTCGTATACTTCAAAGTAAATTGATATCGTGTAAATAAATTTTCATTAATATCTGGACTCTTGACAGGTTTGTTGTTAGAGTTTAATTAGCTTTTGTGGGAAAATAGATCTAAACACCAACCAGGCAACCACTCTCGCGGCCAGTGGCGTTGGCCCATTTTGTCAGCAACAAAGCCTGGGTCCAAGATGACCCCATGAGGCTTTCTCACCTTTCTCTTTGGAAACTTCCGTTTGGGAAAAAAAAGTTTTGGAATTTAATTAATTTTACATTTTACATTTTACCTTAGAAATTAAGTTTTTAAAGTAATTATTCTTCTTTACACTACAAGAAATATGATATTTAAAAACAAAAAATAAATAAATACTACCAAATATGTAACCTTTTTTTCCTTTCTTTTAGAAAAAATAAAGACTTAATTAGATAATAAACAAAAATTAAAGGCGGAATGAAAAAATTCATTATCATAAAGAAACCTTAATCATTGCTTTACCGTTTTAATTTTATAAAGGATAAATATATAATGATTTTCTTTCACTTCTTTTAATTTTATAGAAGATAAAACTTAAGCAATTTTACAAGTAAATGCATAAAGATGAGTTTTCTTGAACAAAAAAAATAGTATTTTTATATTGGCATTGTAAGAAAAAGGGATATCGGATCAACCCATAATAGGTGGCTCGGCCACAACTAGGTTTAACAATCAAACCTGAGTTTGGCGGGTTCCAACTCGACCTAACCTCATAGGGTCAATTTTTTTTTTGAAAATCAGGTTTCAAGTCAGGTATTACTAAGAAAAAATTGAGGTCGAGTCAGGTTCGGGTTTTAGGCAAACCCAACCTAACTCGGTACTATATTAAAAATTATTTTTTACTTATTTTTTTATATATAATTATATAATTATATATCTATATTTTAAAAATAATATTTTATTAATTTTGAGTTGGGTCAAGTATGGTTTATGTAATATTGGGTTCGGGTATTAAAAAATAAAAAAAATTTCGGGTTGGATACGGGTATAAATTTTGTGATTGTAAAATCGGATCAGGTTCGAGGTGAGCAAAAGCCTATTTCGATCCGACCCGTTGCCAACCCTAACCACAACTTATTGAAGACTACCTCAGAAAGTTTGTAAAGTTTGAATTTGGTTAAAAACTACCTTAGGTAGTTAACTAATGGTTCAAAATTTAAACAATAACTAATGTCCCTTTGTCTCTAAAAAGGAATGACATACGACCACCATGAAAGGTTGATTAAAAGAAATTAAATCTCTCATTTTTCCAAGTATATGGCATTGGGCTATATAGAAAAGGAACATTAAAAAAATGAAGTGTGGATTTTTCCTCTTTTAAGAATTCACATGGCATTTTGCCATGATGAGAAATAAGAAGAGGAATATGTTCATTCAATTTAAGTATGAGAAAAGTCTCGTACATGTGAGACTACGTGATTAATCATATAGAAAACAAAAAAAAAAAGAAGAGAGATTGACATAGAGAATGAAATTCTTCAAGGAATCTTTTGCATCAGTGTTTAAGGACTTTCATTATAAATAGTAGATAATTTTTGAATGCATGATTCTGTCTTCAACTAGTAAATCAAGTTGGTATCTTTTTTGTAATACTTTCACAAAAATGCTTCCACTATGTTTCCACAAATCAAGTAAGTTTTTCACTTTATTTATGATATATGATGTTGTTCATATATTATTACATTATCCTTCATTGGTATCAGAACCAAGTTGGCTTGATTCCTGCTTGTTTCAATATTTGTCTTGAAACACCAAAATTGTTTACATGTTTTTGAGTTTTTATCAGAACGCATCCAAAAATCTATGAAAGTGTTATACAAAAGTGTGTAAATTTGTAAAAGAAAGTTGTTGTGAATATTTTGAAACATTTAATATGCAAGTTGCCATTGTTGTTTGAAATATATAGATTGAATTTTTTATTTTCAAAATTCTAGCATTAAAATGCTTGATAGGGTATCTGAATGCTTTAAGCAAAATTTTAAAAATTAGTAGTTATTTTTTAAAACAAGAAAAAGGCATTCATATGTTCCTTAAGGCATTCAAATACCTCATTTTTCTAAACAGAAAGCAAGCATTTGAATGCCCTCTCTAGAGCATTCGAATGTTCGTGTGTCTTTTTTTCCCCTAAAATATGCTTCAATTTTTTTTTAAAAAAAATTCTTTTAAATTCTTTTATTCTTAATTAACTTTGGGAGGTCAAACCATAAAAGAATGATTAAGTCTTAATCATTTTTTAACCTGTGTTGACCTATGAACTCATAATTTTTTTTCATATTTTGTTACAAAAAAATCATGACTATTTTTATGAGAACTACTATTGTTATAAAAACTTAGACGCAATTGTTTAAAGTGATAAGGCTAGTAATTGAATTAGTGTAGCACCAAATGGATCCTAATAATGATGATATTATGTGTCATATTATCAAGGGTTAAAAACAAGATTAAAGAGTTGATCTTTTGAGGTAACATGCATGTAAAGAAACATCCTTACATGTATATCTAACAAGAGAAAATGTCTTAATGTTACAACTTTGATAAAGAATTTTGTGATTTTGTGAGGAAAATGGTAAGGAGGAACACAACCTTCTTTATCAACCTAAGTCTCCATAGTGGCATACATAAAATTCTTGGATCTCCATGATAGCTAATAAGAATGTGGAACATTCATAAGAATTTAAGAATTCCATTCTAGTCACTAGGCAAGTGATACATACTAATTTAGAATATAGTTTAATAAATAATTTGTATGTTTAATGATGGAACTTGTTAATGTGTTCAGAATGTACATGCTTTGTGAGACTTGTCTATATGAGTTCAATCAATGTATGTTATTGATTGAAAGTAATCTTAAAGTTAGTGGGAGTTCTAAGGTATTAGTTAATGAGTTACCTTAGAATAATAAATTTGGCACAATAGAAAAGAATAAGTGATAATCAAACACATTAAAAATGAAATTTTATTATGAATATAGTGACTTTTTTATTTCATTTTTATGTGAATGATTGTTATTATTTTATTCATGTTATTATGGCTAAATATATGTGTATAATGCTAGGCATTAATTAGTGCAAGGTTCTTTCAATATTGAATTATCCTTTAAATATGACTTTTATATTTAAGTATATGGTCACTGAATTGGGATAATTATGGAATCTGAAAAATGAAAATCTAGTATGTGTTAGAAAAATAAAAGGTTTTTGAAATTTTAAACATTGTCTTAATGGAGCCTAAGTATAAGAATACATTCTAACATAGAAAGGACCAAGGGCTTGTGAAGCCTAGATAGATAAAACTTTCCTGCTTGCATTACATTGTTAAATAGTATGGAAAGTGATATCATACATGAGTTCAAGTAATATAATATTGCTAAAAGAGATGTGAAATGCCTTGACAACAAAGTTTATTTAAGAATAAGGATGATTACACTTTGATAGATGAACAAGAGGTTCAAGCTATAATTCAGTCCTTGCTATATAATTAAGAGCATATGAAGATGTACTTGACCCACAATGAGAGTATGAACAACTTTTTTTAAATCATAGACCTTAAATTGATACCATAAGAATTCATATTCAAATTAAGACTCATAATATTGAAATTGAATAAACCCAAACAATATCAATATAAAGATAATATTCATTTAAAGGAAATAAGGTATAAATATAAATTAAAAAAATGGACCAAACTAAAATTTTAGGAAAAAGTTAGATTAGATTTTTTATTATTATTATTATTCTTCTTATCATCTTCAATTAAAGAAAATTGTAAAAGAAACATTTGAACCTAATGTTGATGTGTACATGGCATACACATGTTCAAAGGAAGCTGTGAGCTTCAATCATTGGTCACATGATGGGAATAAGGAGAAAACTCTTAAAAGATCAAAGAATGATCAAAGTGATAAATAGGAATAATCCGAAGGCTTAATCTAAAAAGAACAAAGCTAAAGTCAAGTGCGTTAACTACGGTAAAGAGAGTCACTTTCCTTATGAATGTAACGAGATGAAGAAAACTTAAGGACCATAAACTATGTAGCATGAGACATAAGCAAAATATATTTAGATAGGAAACAATCAAATGATTGAAGTAAAGGGTGTTGACACTTACAAGTTAAGAGTGTATGGTGGAAAAATTGTCATCTTACATAATATCTTGTTTGCTATTGATATTTGATAGAATTTAATTTATGTCATTGTTATTCTTTATCTATGATTTGTTATGAATTTTAATAATACTGATATGGATTTTTTTTTTAAAACAAATTATTATGGATTTGGATTTTATTAAATGGTTTTGTGATGTCAATATTAATGTGAATGTTTGACATGCTAGACTTGGTCATACGTGTGAACAAAGAATGGATATATTAGCAAAAAAAGGATTACAAGACTCTATATGATAAGGTTAATCAACCATTATGTGTAATCTATCTAACAAGAAAACTAACAAGAAAATCATTTAATAAAAAAACTATATTTGAAGTTTCATAGCAATTAATACATTTTAATAGTTGTGTCCCAAAGGCACATAATGGATCTTAATATTTTATCACATTTATTAATAATAATCCAGATTTTAGTTTTGTTTATTTGATTCTTCACAAGTGTAAAGCTTTAAAGTGTTTTAGAAAGTTGATGAAAAATCAATTAGATAAAAACATTAAGGCATTAAGAATTGATCGTTAATATGAGTACTTGTCTGATTAGTTTAGACAGTTATTTGATGAAAATGGTACTAGTACTCAATTAACCATTCCAATGACTCAATAACAAAATAATGTTATAGAGAGAAGAAATAAACCTTTTTTAGAAACGGTTAGGTCAATGTTGGCCCAATTAAATTAGCAAATCACTTTAAAGGTAAAGTATTGTTACCAACTGTCTATATATTCAATTGTGTATCCTCCAAGTTAGTTACAATCACTCTCTATGAATTGTGGATTGGTAGAAAACCC